TTTTGCTCCATATTAGCCTTAAAAACGCTATACTCACGGAGTTTTTGAATCGCATTACCGATCGGAGATCATCAGCTATACTTGTACCACCATCGATCGCTCTACTTTCCGTATAGCAGTTTTGGCCCAAGAAGTTTTTAGTGTGTTGACCACTAACCGAGTGTATGATTAAGTTTGAACTAGAAACCCTAAAACCCTAGAACCCATTAAACCCTGAGAAGCCCGGCCTCGACGCACGCCCATCTTGTCGCTCATATTATGAGCGACAAGAGGGCGACAAAATATGCATGTAGGGATTATGACATAATCCCTACATGCATATTTTTCGAAAACCGAGTGTATGATTAAGTAAATAGATTACCGAAGAACATCCTACTTCCAGGAAATCGTGCCTGAGAGGACATCAACACTTTTCCAATGGTTACGTCTCGTCGTGTATCAACTGCAAATATGTCTGGGTCTGGAAGATTCTGAGATTTGGAATGTACGTTTAGCATGGGGGATAATGTCTGTAATGCATGCCGTAGCATCACAGACTTTTCGAGGGCTTCGCGCTGCCTATTCCGCATGACATCAAATGCCCTAGATCTCCTGCGTCCGAAGCTGCTTGCGGCGACGGTGCAAAGGTTTTTGATGAGGTGCAGGCGGGTATGCATGACAATTGCGCTCTCCGCGTAGCCAAGGGTTGCATAATTCCCTTTGCATATGCTGGTCATGCAATACAAATTTTTTTGGAATCCAAATGGAGCATCACAAGTTCGGATTCTTCCAGACCCAGACGAGACATTTTTGCATTTGATATCGTGGATTGCCCTGCTGGGCGATTGCCGTGCTGGTCGCGGTACTAGGGGGAGCTGTCCTTATCGCTGTTGTTGTTACAACGACTGTGGTCATTGTCCTACAACGGGCAGGGCAGGCAAACGAAAACGAGGAACAACAAGTGTCATGGCCATGGGGGCAGAGGACAAGGCATAATGAAATCCCGACTGGCCGGAGGAATCATAATGAAGTCCCGACTGGCCCCCCAGCTGGACTTCGATTGTCATGGCCATGGGGGCAGAGGAGTCATAATGAAATCCCGACTGGCCCCCCACCTGCACCACCGCCGCGGCCAGCGCCTGGCCCCCAACCACCTGCACCACCGCCGCGGCCAGCGCCTGGCCCCCAACCTGCACCACCGCCGCGGCCAGCGCCTGGCCCCCAACCACCTGCACCACCGCCGCGGCCAATAGTACCCCCGTTATCTGCAGACACACAGCTCGTGATCCAGCATGCGGGGCTGAACGCGTTGTGCCAGTCGCCGGACGTGTTGGAGTGCAGGCAGTGGACGAGGACGCAACAAGGAGGCACGGCTACGGCTAGTCAAGAACATCAAGGCACAGCATCAACTGCTACGACAACGAACGCCCCAAGTTCCTCCGACTCGACTTACTATGTGTCCGTCGACATGAAGAAGAATGTTGGCGCTTCTGCAAATAACGGCGCGGACGATGAAGATGGCTTCACCATTGAACTCGATCTTCCTGCTGGCGTGTTTTACGATGGACGTTATCCGGGTATACCCGCGTACCAGTCGGGCAAGTACATCGTGAGAAGCCGAAGATTGCGGCCCTCCTATGTCCGGCGCGACCCGGATCTGGCACAGTTCTCTCCCATTCGTTCCCAGCGCATGGGCTGGGCGGACGCAGAGCTTACGCTTCCCGGCGCGAGGACTAGTACGACGACCGGTTCTACTGCTGGTACTACTGGTGGAGCCATCGATAATAATGCGCCACCAGCAACGACAGCGCCACGACCAATAAATACGATCCCAATTTTCCTGAAATTTGACGAGCTCGACTTTCGCAACGATGACCGCGCCAAGGATTTTCTGCACAACGCTGAAAAAATCTCGGATGTTTGCCACAGGGTTGCGCTGGGTCTTTCCCCGCTCCCAGCATTCCCAAGCCTAGAAAAGGAGTTCGGAAATTATGGTAGTAGCGCCACGACTTCTTCACAATGGCAGCCACATGTTCTTGCAGGCGAACGCTTGAGGCGATTGTTTCGGATGCGGCCCGTTCCTGCTCCGGCCATCATCTCCGTAATCGGTCCGCCCGGCAAAGAGACCGGCTGTTATCCTGTGCAAAAGTATCGTACTCGTAGTAATTGCAGCAGTGCATTACAAATCTTGTTTCCAAGGTAAATCAGCATGACAAATTCCATTTGTCACGCTGAGCAAATTTGTCATGCGATTTCTACTAGTACGATACTTTTGCAGTTCATAGCTGTGGCTTTTTGACGATGTTGGAAAAGGCTGATAGTGACAACGAGTCCTCGCCGTCGCCGGCGTCACCAACTACAACGCCAGCCGCACCTGCTGGACGAGCAAGCAGCCCCGTTCTGGCTCGGCGGTCGATGCTATCCCAGTGCACAACCTCGTCCCCTCTCCCTCATTTCTCATGCAAAATACCAATTCCACACGTTCTCTCCTGACACTATTAATACTTATAACAAGTTCTGGTAGCTCAAATAGCACTATAATCCAGTGCAAATTTTTTGTCATGCAGAACCGGCATTCTTGCTGATGCTTGTATTGCCGTTCATGCAATGCAAATGAGGGGGAGGGCGGGGAGTTGTGCACTGTCATAAATGCCCTTGAGCGACGTGCTGCGGCGAGTCAAGGAGGCCCGAGAAAGTGCAGGCGGCTATCAAATGTAAAAATGTCTGGGTCTGGAAGATGCAACTTGTGATGCTGCATTTGGATTCCAGAAAAATCTGTATTGCATGAGTTGTACTAAAGGGAGTGCAATTTTTGCTACGCTGAGAAGGCATTTGTCATGCGGAATAGGCATCAAGAAGTCCTCAGAAAATCTGTATTGCTAGGGTATGCATCACAGATCGATCATGGCTCGTCATGCAAAACATGCATGACAAGTGTCAGAATCTTCCAGACCCAGACATTTTTGCATTTGATAGCGGCGCCACAACTACATTTCTGCAGCGGCCGGGGGCAGCAGCACCAGCACCAGCAGCGGCTCGACCACCAGCGAACACAACTACTATGTTGACACAAGCCTCGACTGCGGCAGATATTGACGACGCCCTGCAGGCTCTCTTTACGGACACGTCGACTACCGACTTTGTGCAGCAGCTGTACACGGAGCTGGTGCGAAACTTGCGGACAATGGACCGGTCGGGTTTTTTATACATCGACGTGCACGGCTTGAACACCTTGGTGCACTTTGAGCTTGTAGAAGTAGCAGACTCCTCGCAGCCCCGGGCCCCACCTGTCGCGGCTCCCGTTGTACAACTGCGGTATGAACTGTCCCTGGTAGATTACAAAACCCTGTTGTACATGCGGTCTGCGCAGAAAGGTTTTGGTGGGCGGGATGACAGCGGCTTGGTCCTCAATAACACGAGCGGACGAGACAGCAGGCTGCTGCACGAAAAACTTCTTTTCGAGGTGGCGAGGACAGCGCCAACGCATTCCACAGTAACCTCCAACCCGGTTCTTGCACCTGATTTGCACAGACCGCGGCCACAGACCGTACGAACCCTTTTCGCTTTGACGAAGTTACCAACCCAATGGGGTGGCGCACGTGGCCACATCAAGAATTTGTTTTATCCCCTGCGCCACAGTCGCCGCGATCCGAATAATGCGGGCCGATCCTGTAAAGCCTATGGTGACGAACTGTATCCCTGGGACCAATGGGCTCCGGACGCGGTCCCAACGGGCCCGATGGCGGACGAGCCGGTTGCGTACGACCTGCTTAGTGGCATCATGGAGGACATAGCTTTCGGTTACGCGATTGTGGGCCACGCGTTCAAGGACCTCCTCACCTTTGAACAGAAAGAAGAGATCGAGATAGCCGTGCTAGAGGAAGACATTGCCGCCGGCGTCTACCAGAACATTCCAGCCGACGCGCNACCTCCTCACCTTTGAACAGAAAGAAGAGATCGAGATAGCCGTGCTAGAGGAAGACATTGCCGCCGGCGTCTACCAGAACATTCCAGCCGACGCGCATTACGCGGCCCCGGCGGGAGGACAGCCTAGGGAGGAGATGGACCGGAACCGCATACGAGAGCGGAATAGCTGCCTAAGGGAGCGCAGCCGGTAAGTAGCGAATGTGACCCATTGCGTGAATGCGAAGAGGACGAAAGCTGTGATCGTGTATTATTCAAAGTCTAATTGGAATTTCGAAACTCTAGAGATACACAAGAAGATGACCGTGGTCGACGATTCTTATATTACTATTTTTAAAAATGCGACATTTTGATTTTGGTGCTTGGAAGTAGCAGTATGCTATTACGATGCAGGATTTCTTTTTGTTAATCCGCGTCGGGGTTGAAAGCGGTGCTTTCTTCTCGCGAGGTTTGCGCTACTTCAGAAAAGCACATTGTTGCTAAACACAACAATAACGCGACATAAGAAAGATGAAACGTGTATGATTTTTACTTTTTCCCATTGGCCAGCTCCTTGGCCGTTTTTCAGAAAGGGAGCGAAGAGACTGAGTAGCGAATGTGCTGACCCACACGACCCATTGCGTGAATTATGCGGAGACGAAAGCCGTGATGGTGTATTTTGAGGATTTTTGTTAATGGTATCAAATGTAAAAATGTCTGGGTCTGGAAGAATGCATGTTTGTCATGCTTGTCTGGCATGACTCTGAAATCTGTCGTGCACGTTACCCAAGAGCGCCACTTTTCTGTCATGCAGAAACGCAGTTTGTCATGCAGAATAGGCAACACCTAGAAGCTCAGAGACTTCTCATGCTGAGCCAGCACCTGCGGCGTCCTCATGATATGCCACCCAGCATCACAAGTTTCCAGACTCAGACATTTTTACATTTGGTAAATGGACGTCGTCAACGATTTCGGTTGAAAGCTGAGCTTTCTTCTCGCGGTGTTTTTTGTTGAGGATTACTATTACTATCTATTATATTCATGCGAAAATATTGGTCTAGAGAGGGTAAACGAGAGGTGGCCGGGAGGTAAAAAAGAGGTCAAAAGAGGTCAAAAAGAGGGCGACAGAGGTGGAGAGGTGGCGCGGGAGGCAGTTCGAGAGGGTGCGCGAGAGGTGGCGCGAGTATAGCCCGCCGAACCGGTCGCCCTTTAGGGCCGCTAAGCGCCTCGGAGGGTGCCGAGAGGTAGAAAAGAGTGCGGGCGAGAGGTGGACAGAGGTGCCGAGAGGTTGCGCGAATAAGGGGCGACCTCCCGCGGACCCTCTTGGCCACCTCTCGGCCACCTCTGTCG